CGGCCATGTCGGCTGCACTCGGACAGGGAGAAGTCCTTCCTCACGAAGGCGGTGGCCAGGTGGGTTCAGGCCCGGGAGATGGTTCACACGATGACCTCGGGGGATGATGAGGCAGAGCTCTTGCAGCTCAAACGAAGGATGAGGGCTCCTTCTACACACCAGCAAGGTGGAGGCTTCGCTATGGCCATGTGCATTGAGGCATGCTGCCACTCAACGACTTCGCCTACAACTTCAGAGGCTGGGAGTGGGATCGAAGCCGATGGTCAACTTCGGATCGATGGTCATGGCCAAAGCCAAGAGATGGCATCACAAAACCGGAGAGCTGACCAACCCGTTCAAGAGAGTACAGGTGTTGGGACCAAGCCCGTTGATGTCGTCCGGTTGGCAGCCAAGGACAAGCAGAACAGAATTCAACATCTTCGGACGGTGGTGACCCCATCGAAAACCCTTGAAGCGATGTTGGAATTGCATGAGATGGACCTCAAGGGACAAGGGCATCAGACATCGACTGACAGGCAAGCAGTCCATCGACCCACATCCACTGAAAGATGCAGTGTCTCGGCATTTTGATGCAAGAGTCCAGCCAGCTCTTCGTGTACTACGAGCTGGGGGGGAGACCACAGAACCAGTTACAGACCCCGTGGGCAATCCAATTTTGGAAAATTCGGAACCTACTCCATTGAATTCGCTGTCGGTATGGCAACCTGGGGAGGATGTGAATGACCTGGGGGACTCCACTGATCAACCCATGGAGCCAATGGTGGGGGGGGATCGTGAAGGAGAGGTAGCTGGCGTGGAGTTGGAGGTTTCCGGTCCGCTGAGGGATTACCTGCAGGAGTTGGAGCGGGACTTCAGTGGTGGTGGCCTGGAGTTTGCGGACGAAGAGGAGGAAGTCGATGAGGCGGTCGATGAGACGGAGCCGGAGTCGGAAGGGGAAGTGTCGGGGTGGAGAGCCTGGGAATGTCTCGGGTGAGCTTGCAATGGTGTGCTGTGGAGATTGTGGACTCCTCCAACCAAGACATCCACATCAGGTCCCGACCGAGAACCCAAGAGATCTTCGTGGCTGTGGGGTGGTGATGAGCTCCATGCAAGCGGTGGTGGAAGGTACGCTGGACTTGGTGGAGGCGACACAGATTTCCTGCGGTTTCTGTGGTGGAAGGGTTTCAATTGCTCTTGGGACCAAGCTGAAGAGTGGCACGCCATGGAGGTGAGGTCGCACTTGCTGATGAAGAGGTTGTGGAGTGAAGAGTTGCGCCATCAGGCCATTGGAGAAGAGCAGGGCCGTCAGAGGGGACGATGGATGGCTGCTTTGGAAGCTGGACTGTTGGTGCAAGAGGATCATTTGGAGGATCAACATCGTAAGCTGGAGTTGGAGGCTGGCTGCGGTGAAGAATGAAGCGGGTTTGGAGCTGCAGGATCCAGGAGCTCCTCCACCCGCGGTGTTGCAGACCTATGCAGTCCCTCTTCAACGAGTCAGACAGGAGCTGGCGGCGTGGGTGCCCCCGATGACCGATGAGTACCAGTCCCTGATTGAAGGAACTCGAGCATTGAGTCCGACGACTATGGAAGAGTTGGAGAAGGATCCACTGTTTGAGGCGATGGAGGTGGCGCCTGGGATGTTGGTTCCAACTATTAAGGCCCCACATGGGAAGAAACGAGCTCGCATAGTGGTCTGTGGCAACCGGCTTGAAGCTCTGGATGGCAGTGGTGCAGCAACCCCAGGCAAGGAGGAGTCCCAGAACCTGTACGCTGGCGGAGCCGACGGAACAACAATCCGATGCCTTCTTCGGAAGGCGGCCGCCATGAGCTGGGAGATCGCAACTTGCGATGTCAAGACGGCCTTCCTTTTGGCGCCCAGGGAGGACTCCAGTCGACGATTGGTTGTGGTGAAACCGCCACGCATCTTGGTGGAAGCGGGCATTGTTGGACCTCGAGAACCATGGCGAGTTCAACACGCCCTATACGGACTTCGATCCTCGCCGGCCGACTGGGCGACCTACTGCAATCGGTTGATGAGATCCTTTCAATGGCAACATGAAGGGGTGACGTTGGAGCTTCGGGAGACACCGGAACCCAACCTTTGGAAGATAGTTGAGAGAAGACCGCGGGATCAGGAGGAACCGCCTCCGAAGGGATTCATTGGGGTCTATGTGGATGACTTCATCGTCGTTGGCGCCAAGGACATCGTGAAAGGAGCCTTGAGCAGGATCGAGATGGAGTGGAAGTGCAGCCCGGCGGAGTGGGTCAGCAGCGAGAGATGGACGAAGTTCAGCGGATTTGAGCTAAGATGGAGTTCGGCGGAGGAGGATAGCGGGCTCTATGTGGGACAACAGGCCTACATCCAGGAACTGCTCAGTCGACATCCTTCAGTGACTCCGGCTACTGTGCCTTTCCCGGGGGTGCCCAATGAGGAGCCGGAAGCGGAGGTTACATTGGAGGACGTGAGAAAGGCGCAAGGTGTGGTGGGCGAACTACTGTGGGTGTCAGTGAGAAGCCGGCCCGACCTGGCGTATGGAGTGGCTTGGATGGGACGACAGGTGACCCGAACACCAAAAAGGGTCTTGGAGTATGGATGTCAGATGTAGGGATATTTGAAAACCACCTTGGCATGGTCGCTTCATTATGGACGAGCACGGTCCTCAATCCCCGGGGAGCACTACCATCCCACTATGAGGGTGGATGTCCTCTCAGACGCATCGTTTGGACCTCCTTCTGGAAGAGGGTGCCAGGGCGTGATTGGAACCTATGGGGGAGAGCCAGTTGAATGGGAATGCAGGCAGCAAGCGTTCTGTAGGTTGTCGAGTGCGGAGGCTGAGTTGCTGTGTTACACGGAAGCTATGACTATGGGGGACTCCTTGGCAGCATTGACCAACGTCTTGGAAGGGACTGGAGATGAGACGGGAACGGAATGCCGTGTGGGGGGAGACAACCAAGCTGGTCTTCGAATCCTGGAAGCGCCAGATGGACCTTGGAGGACACGTCACCTTCGCCTTCGAGCTCATGCACTACGAGAGCGAGTCAAATGGGGCGCTTGGAAGGTGATTCATATTCCAGGTCAACATCTGGTGGCCGACTTCCTGACGAAGCCGATTGGAGTGGCGGCTCGATGGCAGCATTTCTTCGCGGCAATGGGAATGAAACCGGTGGTGGAAGCTTCCTCTGAGAGTTTAGGGTCCAAAGTGGCCAGGATTGCAGCTCTGGTAGGTGGGCTAGCGGGTGTGATGACTTGGCGGCCGTCAGGTCTCACAGGCAAGGCCGCTCAGAGCCTGGCCGTAGCCGCGATGGTAGCTAGCTTGGCCACCAGCTGGAAAGCCGGCTGTGATTCTAAGAAGAGAGCCACTGGGCCGACAAGAAATGAGTATGTAGATCCACCTTATGGACTTCAAGATCAGGTGAGGGAAGATGAACCCACCTGCAGTAGAGATGTTGGGTCAGAGGAGGAGCCCATCACTGAACCTAGCCCTGAGGGCTCCCGGGATTACGCGGTAGAAATGCGCCATGGCGGCAACACCAAGAGGGCGCGATTGGCTGCTCTGAGAGGAGGATCTTCGGCAGAGCTTGGAGGAGAATCATCAACGGCAACTGGAACGGCCCCAGCCGTGGACTATGATCGACCCTGGATATGGAGCAGGTTTTCTATGCCTTCGAGGGGTCAAGACCGATGGGACCGACTTCCAGGGGGATGGTGGGTCAGACACCATGTGAGGCAGAGGATGAGACCTTTCCACCCAATCCATCGACGAACACCCATGGATTGCAGCCACATTCAAGATCGGAGAATCACCGTTTTGTGGTGTCATGGAGAAAGGGTGATCAGAGATGATGATTGGCGAATGGAGACGCAGCCGCCTGCTAAAGATGCCTGGGTTGGGTACACGTTCTTTCGGGATCTTAATCCAGACCCAACGGCAGGGACATTGACTTCGACGTCCAGTTCATCGACTACCAGAGGGCAGGGCGATCGGACGTCTTCCTCGATGAGCAGTTCATTGACCTCGGGACCACCGCCAATGCCGGGCATTGCGGAACATGGTCCAGTGGCCGAAGGGTTGCCTCAAGATGTGTCAGACTGGATCGTCAAGGACGTGAGCCAGATCATGGGGAATCAGTCTCTGACCTCAGTACGAGGATGACTGAGGGAATGAGCAGCAGTGGCCTTGGAGGCTATGGGCAGCGGCTTCGTGGCCATCAACAACGAGGAGAAGCCGAAGGCTCTGGAACCTCTGGAGACTCCCGAGAACTATCTTTGGTGAGTGAAGAGATTGACAGAGGGTGGGACTATGACCCAGCGTATTGGGCACAAGGACCTGGAGGACAGGATGGAACTACGTTGGATGATGATGTGCGGGACGATTGGCTGGCGTTCATGCGGGACTTAGCAATTGATGCGGGGTCACCTGAGAGGAGCCGGCCGGTGGAGAGTGAGTCGAGCAGTGCAGAAAGACCTGACTGGAGGAGAACTCTAGCCAGTGAAGATGAAGAACCGCCAACCTTGGACGAGATGACCGCCCAGGGATGGAGGGTGGTGCGAAGCAACTTGGCACCCCCGAATCGGGAAATCTACAGAGGACCTGATCCTGTACTACCACCAGCTGGGGACCCAGATCAGGAGACACCAACTTCCCTTGGGAGCCGCGACGCGGTTTTTCTGGAACCTCAAGGGTTCGAGAGGACTCAAGCGAGTCTAATGGAAGCTTTGAAATCTTCGAAGACCGTGGAGGGTAGATGAACCTGCCCGACATGATGTGACTTCGAGGAAGTCAGGGGGAGTGTGAAAGCCACATTCCATTTCGAAATGAAACCACACGGCATCACAGAAAGCCAAGCGCTGTGATGACCCTTTTGGCTCAAGCTCGGAAAAGCCCGACGTGCTGGGCACCCCATGTCATAACCACAGTTTCAAACAGTTTTAAGCATCGTGCATTGACCATCCGGCTCATGTTGCACGCATGATCTACTGCGAAGCAAGAAGGCCTTTTTTTCCCATTGAGCTCGCTGAGGTTGAGACGACATCGACGTCCTGGACGTCCTCGGAACGGATGACCGACGTTGGTCGTTGCGAGTCGACGCGGAGGCTTTCTGTTGTTGGCCAATGATGCCAATGTGGGGATGGGTCAAATCCTGGAGCCCCAACAGCATGTAGCTTGACTTCGCAGGTAGGTCAACCGAGGTCTCCTGGTTTTGCCATGTGAACTGGAGTCAGGCATGTGCGTTCGGCCAGTGTGTCAGGCGGGTCAAGTTGGTCGTTGTTTGTACCTCGTTACCTCCAACGTTGATGCTTCTGGACCTGCGGGTGGCACAAGGGTTTGACTATCACTGCAGAGCTGTGCAACTGTCATGCACAGGGCTAGTCAGTTGATGAACATTGACCGCTTTTGCCTCAGCCTTTCAAGACCACTTACTGAATATGATGTTTGCGTATCCGATTAGTTGCCCTCGCAGTCCATAGATTCGTCCACACGTAATGCTTAAACTTATTACACTCTTATACAGAGACATTATCAGTACTTGTGTCATTCTGTTGCACCTCGCTCCCGCCGATGTCCCGCCTCGCTCCCGAGGTCACCGGCGCCTACGAGGAGGTCCGGGACTTCAAGGTGTGCCTTGGAAGGAACGGTGGCCAGCGAGGTGGCAACGTTGGCGTTCAGACGCCTCACCAGCTGTCGCTGCACTCCCAGAACAGTCTTCCCTAGTTGATTGGAAAAGCTTTTGTGTTCCTTCCCCTCCCCCAAAAAGACACATGTCTTTGGGGACATTTGGGGTTATCTCACCAATTCCCCAAGCTTGCAAGAGGTCTTTTGTGGACACTCTCCCTGAAATGATCATGTCAGTGGATGGCATGGCTCCTTGGATGACCATGAAATCTCTACAAACAGGTGGTGCCATCCACTTCCATGATTATTTCAGCTATGTAGATCATCCCAAACAAATCACTGAGTTCAGATCATCCGACATCAAAGCCTAGCGCCCCAAGGCCCTGCGTCCCGCCGGGCGTGGACGCCTTCTTCCTCATCGATGATGAGACCAGGCGCATTGGAACCTGGATCTGCGCGAAGGCCAATGGAGGCTAGTTGACCATTTGCTGGAAGATCTAGCAGATCTGGAACCTGGATGCTTTGAAGTTTCCAAGAGCCAGATTGAATGAATGGTGATGAATGGAGATAGCAAGCTTAGCTAAACCCAAGTGCTATTGATGGCATCCTTCAAAAACAGGCATGGGTCGGGAGGACATCCAAACCACAGGGCTCCACGACTCACCGACCTGGTTGGGTTTTCCCGAAAGCATTGCGAAGGGTTCTTCCGGAAAATCCTTTGAACACTGACACTTCGACACTTACACTTCGACACTCACACTGGAAGAGCGAAAGCATCCAAGTGCGAAGTATGCCAGTGTCAAAGTATGCAAGTGTAAGTATGCAAGCATGATATGCAAGGGTGAGTATGCAAGCATGCAATGACTATGCAAGCATGCAATGAGTAGGCAAGTGTGAGTATGGACGGGAGATGTCCTAATGAAAAAACATTTCCCCACTTTATAAATTCTCTCTTAAAGGCGGAGTGCGGGACGAACAGCGTCAACCGAAAGTGCAACCCTCTGCGGAGATCGTGCGTGTCGAGTGCGCGAAATGCAGGCGAGAGTGCGATTTGCCGGCTGCGCGCGCAACCCTCTGCGGAGATCGTGCGTGTCGAGTGCGCGAAATACAGGCGAGAGTGCGATTTGCCGGCTGTGCGCGCAACCCTCTGCGGAGATCGTGCGTGCCGAGCGCGCGAAAGCAATCTGTGGAGCTGGAAGCTGAGAACTGGCGACTTTGTAGTACAACTTTAGTACGCAGAGTAGCTGGGGAGCTGGAAGCTGAGAACTGGCGACTTTCTAGTACA